GCTTCTCAGACAAATCTGAACTATCATGATCATTATCACAAATATTCAATTTACCATCATCTATCTGGTCGACTTCATCATTTTCAAACTCTTTAATAACAGCAGTAGATGATTTGGGTTCTTCCTCACAAGTCCCTAAAGATTTCATACCTTCACTCTGACTAGTAATACCTTGTAAAATTGTGGAGTCAGAACTGCACTCTGAAGCAATAACTCTATTCTGTGACACTCTATTCAACAATGGCTTACCAGTTGCAACTACAGACTTCTTCACCGCACCGTTATCGTCACACAATTCGGAGTCAGGCCTGGAGTTTACATTTAGCTTATCACTGAACTTGCTCACTGGTTCACAGTTCACCTTTGTATGCACCTCTTGCAAACGTGTAAAAAACAACCGTGTTTGTCTTGCATCTTGTAACTTATCTGTTGAGGATGTACTACGAAACCTCTTACACTCACTAGGTCTATATGCATTACTAGACATCGTGGAGCCTCCTCGATATCCACCTCTCTGAGGCCCTTTCGTCATCAATTATTGCGTTTTACCCTCAGACTGCTCTATTCTAGGGGTGAGATGCAATAGACTGGCGAACTTGCTCATCGATTGATTGACACCATCTTTTACTAGCTTCAGGATATCATCAAATTTTGGCTCGATACTGTCATCCTCCATACGGGAGCTTATCTTCACCCACTTCGTTTGCAGTCCAGTAGGTAGGCGTCTTGCTATTACTTCTAGTATAAAACTCGAGTTGAGGTCACTCATGCGATTCATCGAAATCAATCCATTCTTGTAAGTCAACAGATTATCCAAAAACTCAGTGAGTGCCTGGGAGTCATCCTGTAATTGACCATCATTACCCTTAACAGCATCGAATAATTTCCCTACAATCATCGAAGATCTTCCAAACCTTTGACGTAGTATGCTCATAGCCTCATCGTAGCCCTCTTTTGGCTTCATAAACTTACAGCACTGTATAGCTCTTGCAGCAACTCCAGTGCAATACCTCATCAAATACATTAACTTCATTTCATCATTTAATAAAAAACCACTCAACATGATTTCAAATTCCCTTACAAACTGTAAATAATCAGCCGGGTTTCCATCAAAACAACGTGGTTCAAATTTAGGGAGTTTGCTGTTCCTATTATCCCTGAACGGCGAAACAGTAACATCAACCATGTCATGCTTAACATCAGTTACATCGTTACAAGTAACAGACAAGTCACCATGACTTACTTTCCTGTTTGCATCCAAAACACTCTGTCCCTTCTTTGACCCAGGCATTGTTGAACTTGAACCAATTCCAGAAACGTTCCAGATATTGCTTGTTCAAAGAGGACTTGACCGGCACCAGGAAAGAAGAATGGTGACTATCCAAACTGTCACCAGCTATCTGAATCCGTCAGAAAATATTTCCACCGTCAGAAACTGCCAGCCACGTCTCGTAAACCGTTAATGCCCAGCTCTTGCTGCACTCGGGCTCACGCTGTTCCTCGAGGCTTCTCAGAAACGCTTAGTACGAACGGACGAAAAAACCAAAACACCAATTGGCGACTCGAGGATTCTTTATTGTAACACCAACATATAAACAATGTTACAACTAAGATCTGTGAACAAATATTACAATAATAAATCACAGTATTACTTCTGACAGTTTTCTGCTGACTTCTTTGTGAACAGCGACCAATGAGACGATGACTGTCGTATTGATGCCTCCGCGAAAATTGGGGAAGTTGGTTTTGAGCAAACAACCATGAATTGATCGTTCAATCTTCAACTACATTGACAGATGGCTTACTTTGGTATATTAGCTGTCTTTTCAATGGTGGCCTCTCCTCACTGCGACATAGGTTGAAATTTTCAGAGTAGCCACTAGCTAATGTAACTGAGTGTTTGTGACTTGTCTCTCAATCAAGTTTTCTCGGGCTCCTAAAAACAGCCATTTCACCAGGGGAACGTTTATACTGGATAGAAACAAAATTTCTGAATTTGTCATATAAAAGAAAAGGCGTTCATCGAAGAGTTACTGTTTTTGACTATATCATTCACTAACTATGCGATCACACATTTATGTAGTAAATTGTCTCGGCAACAAAATCAATATTTCCAAAGATTTGCACTAGAATTGTAAATTTTACATAACGAATATCATTATTTGGTTATAAACTGAACTAAGATTATATAAGTAAGCCGGGTGACCTGATCTAATTGACGGGTTTGAGTGGAGCTCAACTGAAATTAAAACTTAAAGAAAGCCAAGTTGACAGCAGTGGTAGAGATTTAATAAGAGGTGGGGGAAGAGAATATTACTAAGTTAAAAAACAAACAATCGAAATAAGATGAAACAAAATTACGTACTTGGGGTTAAAAAAGGCCAGGTTCACTGTAGATTTAATGACAGAACAAATTATTTTGTGTCCAGAATTCAGGTTTTAATACGTCAGTCACCACTGCTTCTGCGATTTGAAGAAGTTTGATACCTTCTCTTTAATCAAGATTCGCACATATTCTGTAGATGACTTTGAAGTTACTTTGTGGGTTTGCTAGGTGTCCTGATTTGATCAGGTGTTCCAGAAGAGAGCTTCGAGGGGACCATGACCGTGGGTAAGTGTTCGGTGATACGTTTGGCACTTGGCACTGCCGACACACCTAACTCCACACAAGCAGGTGAGTTGGTGGGTGCACATTGATCAGGTCAACAGTGGTAGCCGATCCTTCACATGGTGCGAATCATTGATTTCGTAGAGAATGCTATTCGAAGTTCAGCCACAAAGAAGGTTTTCTTCAGTGAGCGGGACAGGTGGTTTCTCAGTATTTCTGCTGATGAGTCTCCGTTGAATTGTATATTCAAGTAGAGATGCTTTTTGGAAGCAGGAAGTGTGGGTAATCTCAGTGGTTTGGGTTTCATGGATTTCGTGATGACACGTTCTGATTAGCCATTTTCGAAAGGGATTCCTCGCAGTGTTTGGCTCATCTTCCACAGAATTAGGGCCACAAATACCACAGATCGTCTCGACAGCCAACTCACTGGACTTGTACATCAACCCAGAGTGCCAAGTGGAGGCTGCATGAAATCTGTTTAAACAACTTTACACCCAAGCAACTCAACCGTTTATCCCTTGGTCTGTCCCAAATGGTCAGAAACATCTCCCCTCTTGGATAAATTGAGAGATTCCTAAGTTACTCAAACGTAAACACAAATTTTGGAACCCGTTCGCCACACTTTAGACTCCTGAGACCGGGAAATTATACAACACTGCTAGGAATAAAGCCATTGCAGAAATCCGCCAATCAAGGATGAATTTCTTAGCACATCTGGCTCGAAATGCAACAGCAAAACCTAAGAAAATTTCTCGCACATGAACTTCAGGAGTAAAACGTCCAATGGTGTCCCAATCCTGACTATTGATACTGACACAATGAAGGAAGATCAAGAAATTAGAAGCAATGGCAGACTACGTCTCCCAAGTCTTCACTCAGGAGTCACCACTGCCTATAGGATTAACTCTGGCTGCATCAGAGGAATACGGTGTAGATTCCGTTGACATCGACCAAGGCATCGTCCTCAACTGCCTAATGAAACTAGATGCAGGGTAATCAACAGGTCTTGATAATCTTCTTCCAAGGCTTCTCAAGGAGCTATCAGCTCACATAGCCAGCCCTTTGACCACGATCTTCAAACTATATCCCCTAAATGGAGTGTTGCTGAGTGACTGGAAAGGAGCCATAGTTGCCCTCTTCCACAAAGGAGGATCAAGACAAAGCCCTTCAAAATTACGGGCCTATTAGACCTGCCAGCACTTTAATCAAGACACTGGAAAGAATCATCGAGAGAAGTATCATGGCATATCTGCAAACCAACAGTTTGCTACTTAGAGCACAGCATGACTTCCGAAGAAACCTCCAATGCCTGTCAAATCTCCTCACTGCAAGAGAAAGCTGGGTGATATCAAGAGACAACAGAATACCCCTTGAGGTTGTCTTCACAGACGTCAGCAAAGCCTTTGATAAAGTACCTCACAAGAGACTACTCATGAAGTTGGAAAGCCTTGGTATCAAAAGCAACTTACTAAACTTGATTAGGGAATTCCTCATAGATAGGAGGCAGAGGGTTAGGAACAACTCGAAACTCTCTTCCTGGACATCAATGCGTAGCACAATGCCAGTACTCGGACCCCTCCCGTTTATTTTGTATATCAATGAGTTCTCTCTGCTCACTGATTCCCCCTTACCAGAATTACCAGAGATATGTTCACCCACTCGCATACATCTCTGGTGGAGTCAAGACTGCAAAACTGTATCCGGACAGCCAGCCCTTATCTTTAAGGAGACTCGCATATTCCAGAAAGATTCCAAAGGAACACAACACGTATGATTTCCAGCATGATTTATTTATCATACTAGGAAAGACTAGACGGTTTAAATCTCTTCTTCCTGTCATTCCGTAGGTAGAGATGGGATTTAATATCCATGTTTAAAATTTTAAGTGATGACTACAAACTTGATCTATTCTCCATTTTCCTTTCCACCAGGTCAGAAAACCTTAGAGAAGATAGCATGAGAGTTCGAAAGCCAAGGAGAAATCATATTGAGATTGAGTACTGGTTCTCACAGCGAGTCATAAACTCTTGGAACCGACTCCCAGAAGAAGTGGTGTCTGCAACCTCCACTGATTCATTCAAGAAGGGTTTGAGCAACCACAGATATTTAACAGAAAAGGACTAATATAGGCTTTAAGTTTTTCATTCTCAACCAACAAATCTGAAATGTGAAAAATCATAGGTCATGCAGATCACAAGCACATTGGATATTGAATTGGAATGTTCTCAACCATCGTCAAAAAAGTGTGACTTAAGTTATTGGCGATGGGAAATTACTTTTGACCAGGGACACTACAGGAGTAAGGGGAGCGTAATATATATTCGAAATAGCGAACACAAGTTTGAGAAAACTAGTTATATTTGTCAGCGCGCTATTTGAAGATTTACGACTGATGGCAGCGGCTAGTTCGGGCGAAAGCTACTATTGTCATGTTTGTGAAACTGAAGTTGTTCCGAATTTGCAGGTTATCCCACAGTCTTAACATTGAATTATTTACTATTTAGGATTATACATGTTCAGCCTGTCATTCTGGTTTCATTGAGGTGGTTAGCCCAGGGTAAATAACTTGAATTTGTGTTATTTCTGCAATTGTTTTCAGGAGTGGTTTGACATCGGATCCCACAGAAGTACATATCTATTAATCTAATCTTTATTTGTGATAGCTAGAAGCATTTCAGATTATACGACAGCTATGGGGTGGTCCTCTAGCGGATAACTTTGTACGCTATCTTACAACGTCAAGAGAGGACGGAAGTTCTACAGATGAGGAAATGTTGGAGCGAGAAACTATAGTTAGGCGACCACGCCGTTCAGCGAGGAATTCGAATCAAAGGTCGACGCGTGTACGAGTGTATACCCGCGACTCTGATGACCGTCACGTTATGCCAGCCCGGATTCATCTGGATCCTCCTATCCGAATACCATTCCCTGCCAGCCTTGGATCAGTGACTGGAGAAATGCAAAATTTTGTTTTTAACAGAGGTAAGTGTGATAATCCTGAACGTTTATGTGATATACTTAAGCTCCTGTTCAACCTTTCACAATGTCTATTACTTCCTGAATAGTGTGTTACTATGCTTGGTTAATATCATATTAGAGTTAAGCCTGATAAGATCTAATTGAGAACAATATTGTTCGCTTAAATGCGTTGTTCTAAATTTGACTATGGGGATATTTAATATATGAATATCGTTAGCCTTTGAGCTGTTTGTTTTGGTGAAGGATCACTACTGTCATAAATAGCGTTTACTTGGTGTTATTTATGTCAACCTATTTATATTGTATTCACAAGTGTTTCGTTAACAAGATGGTTCTTAAAGTGGAACAGCTATATGCCCGCTAAAATGCACCAGTATTCTGTGTGCTGTGTTTTCTGGTCGTAGGATTCATTCAAAGGCTTAAGCATGCAGAGCATTACTCGCTTTGTTAGTCTCTGAGACAGTTGTTTCTGTAGCATCATTTTCATAATGCCTTCAAAAACTACTTAACTTAAATGTAAACGTCGTGATCTAGAAATTCGTTAAATACTGCAGAGTTCAAAATTAGTTTCAGTAACATAAATATCTCATTTTATTTATTTTTTATTATTTATGGAGATTTATCCCCTACTCACTTTATGTTTTTGGCATTCCATCATTTGAAAAGTTATTATTTTGCCATCCCATTCCCCCTGTTTATAAAACTTCTAAGTTTCGTGTCGATGTTACATAAAAATATTGTCACTTAAGTCATTTTCCAATAACATACTGGTCGGTTACTCCCAGCAGTTTCGGTCATGTCTAGAGTTTAAACGGCATGGGTTTGTTTAGGATAAGGCTGAATCTGTTGTTAGTCTGAAATGGTGTACTAAAGTGGTGCGAAATCCTTTAGTAGTGATATTAAATTAATCCTTGCTCAACTGCTTCCTATCTGTTTCGAAATTACCGATCTGTTTAGGTGAATAACCTTACTGTTTGTATCCTTAATCACGTCTTTTGGTCGAGCCACGATTTTTGCCAAACTGTGAACAGTCACAAATATCTTCTCGTCAACCACGAATTTCAGTGAGTCATTGTTTTTCTGTAACGGTCGGCACAAAGATGTACTCAGAGGACTGTTGCTCCCGTAATCCTTTCTTTGAAATTATCTGTTAATAAAGGATATATGTCTAAAATTGAATGAGTGCTGTTAAAAGTCGGAAAACAGACTTCCTAAATTATCAAAAAGGCTGCAAAAGATAGACTCGCTTTCAACAGTTAGCTCTTCAGAAAAATTGATGTCATCCCTGCTCTGTACAAAAACAGCAGCAAACTAAAAGGTACTATTTTTGAGGAAGAACTGCCTCAGATTAGGGATAGTACTCTTATTGTCAACTGATGATGGGCATACACACCAGCTGTAATCAGTGACCAAGAAATAGAGAAGAGAAAAGCAATGGGTGGTAGTAAATACCTTGTATCCTTTGTCAAGACTAGCCTGAATATCGAAGTGAGCAACTTAAATGTTTGTGAATTGTAGTTATGAAAGATATCTCAATGGCACCTGGGAGTTGATTAGAACCACATGTAGAATGTTAGGAGATAGTTTTAGTCGTAGCTTTCTAAAACGTCGACGTTCGTTGAGATTGTCACTAACATGAAACTAGAAGGTTTAGTGCACCTTAGTATACGATTGCCAGAAGTGTGCAAGGACTGCTATCTGAGATTAACACTTTGACCTTGATATGAATTTGCGGAAACTAGGCATGATATTTTTGATGTTGTATTCTTTAACCTGAACGTTTTTATGGTAAGGCTTTCATTGTACTTCCTGGTAACATCAATAGTAACAACAAAAGTATGCACCTGAAGTGCAAATCTTCATCACTTTAAGCATTTTGCTTCGTGATACAACACAGTCGATGTTCTAAAATAAAAAATTAACCATACGGCTTGACAACGAGATAATTATCTCGATGAACGTAATTTTGACAGTCCTGTGGAGCTACATGGACTGAGATGGTTAGGACATGTGTCATGTATGCCTAGTCATCACCTTCCTCGACGGACAATGTTAGCTGACATAGGGTCAGGCTGGGAAAGAGCTAGCGGTAGTCAAACAAAAACATGGCACCAGTCACTGGAATCCACAACAGTTAGTTTAAGCCACGTAGGAAAGTGAAGACTTCCTGGTTGGGGTCCGCAGAATAGTAAGAACCAATGGCTGGAGACAATCAGTATTATTATTGTTCCCTTGGGTTCCTAGTGGAACATAGGGCTTCAACTGCACGTCTCCACCTGCTTCTGTCTTCTCCTGCTGTACTTTTCACCTGCATCCATGTTAGTCCATGCTCTTTCAAATCCTCTTCACACGATCTCCTCCATGTCACCCTTGCAATGACGTCCCCCACGCCGCTTCACTTTCAGCCTGGTTCCACTCGAGCGATGGTCTGACGCGCGCGCGATGTCACCCATCGGTCTCCTCAGCGAAGGTCCGATCCATCTCCACTTTCTCTTACATATATCTTGGTTGGTGATTGGTTCTTGTTTTGTTTGTTTGTTATCATAGTTTCTTGTTGGTGATTCTTTCCGGCCCGGCCATCTGATCTTCAGCATAGATCCAGCGAAGACAGTTGTTGGTTGATAAAGGTCTGCAACAGGCTGTTGGAAATATTCTTTGTGACCCGACCACAAAGTTTCTGATCTGTATAGAAGAATTGACTGACTTGACGTTGTTTGTATTGAAAATCCGAGTGGATTTTGTTGTTGATGCTGGCTGAGTGACGAAGATTTCCAGATCGGTTTCAGGTTGATGAATGTGTTTCTCGCCTTCCCGATTCTCAGTCGACTTGACATTCTCGTCCGTTCCCCCTGTAGTTGGTTGCAACAATGCTCCCTAGTTAAGTGAGTGAATGAAGTAACCTCCTTCAAATCCCTCCCGTTGATGGTGATTGGCTCTGGATGTTGCTGCAGCTGTTGTTGTTGATGGTTGGTTATTTTCATAACCTCCGTCTTGTCTATGTTCACATGGACTCCTGTCTTCTCTGCCTGCTTCTTCGACCAGTTTGTCAGTTTTCGCTTGCATGTAAGTCTTCGATTTTGTGTGACATCAAACATAAATCATCCACGTGCGAAATCCAGGTCTTCTAGGTTCTTCACGTCGGTCGGTCCAGGATATTCCTGTCTTCTCGTTTCCCACTGTCTGACGCATGATCCAGTCCACCACAATTAGGAATATCATTGATGATAATAAGCCAGCACCCTTGTCTGACTTCTGTGTTTACTCCAAACGCCTCGCCGAGTGAGTTTTCCGTTGTGGATCACTTGACATGTGCCGTTGTCGTACAGCTGTTGAATAAGGTTGATGACTATTTCGGGTACTTGGTAGTACTCGAGTAGTTTCCAAATTACTTCACGGTCAACGCTGTCTGTCGAAGGCCTTCTCGAAGTCTATGAAGTTGAGGTAGAGGTTTTGATTGCCATTCCATGCTTTGTTCGTTGATGATGTGTAATGTTGCAAGTTGGTCAGAACATGATTTGCCTGACTTTCCTGAATCCAGCTTGTTCTGCATCCAGTGCGTCATTTAATCTCTCCAGGATGATGCGACTCAGGATTTTACTTGGCGTCGACAAGAGCATGATTCCTCGCCAGTTCTTGCAGAGTGAGGCGTAAGTCTCCCTTCTTTGGTAGTTTCACGAGGCAGCCTTTCCTCCAGTCAGTAGGAACCTTTCCCTCCTTCCAGACCTTTTGCAATAATGGAGTCAGCATATCTGCTGTCGTCTCTGGGTCCGCTTTCAGTGCTTCAGGGGGTGTTCCATCTGGTCCAGCTTCTTTTCGAGCTTTCAGGAGCTTGATTGCATTCAAGACTTCAGCTCTCGTTGGAGGATTGGTATCAACTTGCAGTTGTGTACGTGCTGTTGTTGGTATTTCTGGACGGGTTGGAGGTGGTGGTCGGTTCAAGAGTCCTTTGAAGTGATCCATCCATTGTTTAATCTGTTTTTCTTCCTTGGTAATTGGGTTCCTTTGGCTGTCTTTTATAGGTTTCACTTGTGTTGATCTCTTCCCGGATAGAGACTTGGTTATCTGACATAGTGTCCTCAGGTCCTTTTTGCTTGATGCCTTCTCAGCTTCAGTGGCCAGATTGTCGTAGACAATTGGTGATGTGGCTCAAAATCGTTCTCAATGGCGCAGGCGCAGCTACTCCTTGTGGCTTACAGTTTCCAGTGAAACTATATTATACTTCGTTGTTACTATTCCTTTGTCTCATCCGTGTCTGGCGTAGACGAGATGCTCGACTATCGACCAAAGGGCGGGTGTACTGCTCATCAGTCCGCTCCGTCCTCCTTTATGGTTGTGAGACCTGGCCACTGAGAGTGGAAGACATGAAAAGACTAGCTGCCTTTGATCATAGGTGCCTGCGTTCTATTTCCCGTGTAAAGTGGCATAATAAGGTGAGCAACATGGAGGTTAGGCGTAGAGTTCTAGGTAAACAGGGGAAATCAATCGACGAAGTCGTGAAGCTACAAAGACTGATATGGTTAGGACATGTGTTACGTATGCCAAGTCATCGCCTCCCTCGACGAGCAATGTTAGCGGATATAGGGTCAGGCTGGAAAAAAGCTAGCGGCGGTCAAACAAAAACTTGGCATCAGTCAATGAAATCCACAACAGTTGGTCTAAGCCACGTAGAAAGGTGTAGACTTCCAGGCTGGGGTCCTCGGGACGGTAAAAATCTATGGTTGGAAACAATTGGTGACATGGCTCAAAATCGTTCTCAGTGGCGCAGATGCATCCACTCCCTGTGACTTATGATCTTCAATGAAACTGTTTTGTATTTCTTTATTACTCCTTTGTCTCACAGCTCTGCTCACTGTTTCTATTATGCTTTTCTTGTACTTTCTTCTCTTGCTTCGCGTGCTACACGGAATGTGGCGACTTGAACTTCCGCACATTTGTGCAAAGTTCTATGTCGAAAACAGACAGACAGACGGTCTTTATTATGGATTTCTTCTACTTCTCTTGCTTTGTGTGCTACATGGAGTGTGGTGACTTCAACTGCCACACATCGGTGCAAAGTTCTATGTCGGAAACAGACAGACAGTGAAGTCAAGCAAGCTTCAATTCTTAGTTATGATGTTTGACTGTTTTTAAAACCAATGCACACATCAAAGTTTACGTCACATTATCGTATTGTGACGTTAATTTTGGGGGCTATTCACTCCGCTTTACTTGACATTTGTGCAAGTGTTTGTAGACTACATTAATTGCGTATACTTGACACCTGTGGTATCGTTCAGTGTTATCTAGACGAAGGTTGTTCTGGGGGAAAAAAGCTCACTGAGGCTTTTGTCTGTTTTGTCCTACGAAGCATTTTACTTCTTCTAACGCTTTTATTTTCATTATTCTTTCTGTTGACGTCTAGTCTAATGGACTTATTTGTGAAATGCTACATAGTAACTCCTAGTCGTACATTTTTGTCTTTTCTGTCCCTTATGATGAGTTGTTCCCACGTTTTTTTCAATCTGTATTTATGTTCATTTTTTACTTATACGCTTTCAAGAAGTACACTATGTCGTTTTGTCGTCAAGATCCTAGACATTTGAAGAATAAATCGATAGACAAACAGGCTTGTCTTGAACTGTACTCACAATTATAATACAAAAGACAGACAATAGAGACTAGCATTCGAAGTCGTTGATAGTTGTCACTTTCAAAGTGTTGTATTCTCTCTCATAAGTTCCTAACTATTCATTGTTAAAAAACTCGAAAAGAAATGTTCACTTTGCGTTCATGAGCAAAAAACAGTCCCCAGAAGCTCCATGGCCTGTTGCTATGTCTTAATGCATTCATTCGTAGTGGTTTTTCCAATTCAGTTTAATTTCAGGTAACATTTCTACATTGTAGTCTATATTTTTACACACTAACAAAACCAAGTAGGTAGACTTATATGGATCTTAGAGAGAAAAAAGCATTATCACCCCCTTAAGTAAGCCGATGTGTTATCTCTCCACTTGACATTCACGATATACATATATGTTAAGCCTAATTTTGTACTTGAGAATTCAGCCTTGGAAAACCAAGATATACAGTTGCTTAGACTAAAATAGAAAGGAATTCGAGTGTTATTTACTCACAGTGGTGAGCAACGAAAGGGGTAAACACGTAGAGATGGTGAAGAGAGAATGCTGATTTTGATTAAAAATAATTGATATCGTGTTAAACTGAATTGGTTGATAGACAGACTGTAAATTTTCGGTGAATGATTGTAGAGAATAAGGACTATGTGTGTACATTCGTCATCACATATGTGGACTGAAAGTAACTCACATTTTCGTTGGTTATGAAAAAAAATACTTCGCGCTGTGCATCACTGACCATTTAGTATGGCTTATTACAGTTATCATCATTTAACGACTTAGATATTAAGCAATGGTGCGTCGGTGGCACAGCGGTTAGGACGCTCACCGACCAGGCACATGTTCCGGGGCTCGATCCCCGGCCGATGCATTCCTTTACCTCGCTAAGCCAGAAATAAAAAAGCTGGTAACGAGGACCGTTTGGGCATGTGGCTAGCAACCCCATCCTGTAAAAATTAAACACTGCTACAGAAACTTCAAGCCAGTAGCCTGAGACTCTATGTTCCACTGGGAACGTGAAGGAAAAAAACGATTTAACCAGATAGAGTTATTATTTTGGAACTCTTCATATCAATCCGTTTAGTCATTTCAAAATTAAGTTTTCTTTTCGTATGATTACTTCCTAATTAATATCCGTATATATAGTATTAGAGTTAAGAAATTTTATTTTTTTGGATTACAGCTTGATTCCACACTGTATTTTTTGGTACAAGTATGGAATTTTCAGCATGAATATCGGTAGCCCAAATTTTGCAGGCCGACCATAGATATCAGGTGTGCGTCGGCAGGGGATCGAACCTCGGGCCATGTGCATGGTCGGCGAGGGTCCTAACCACTGTGTCACCGACGCATATTTCCTATAGCTTAGATTAAAAGCTGATGTGAGCAAAGAGTATTCCTTTTTAGTAAATTCTGCTCAGATTCTCAGTGATAAAAAAATCAGTCGTCATTAGTAATGATAGTAATTATCTGGTATGCAGTCGTTACATTTTATTAACGCTGGATAAATATGTTTACGTATTTAGAATCCGATAAGCTCCAAATCCTAACGTTAACAGTAGGCTTTTTTAAACAATCTATATACAGGTAGTCATACTTGATATTCCTTTGTAATTGAGTGTATTGTTGTTTTCGAGGGGAAATTGTTATTCTGCATGCATAAATTGCATTGTTAGTGTTTGTTCATTAGAGTTGACAAATTCCCATAAAGACTGACTGTTGGTTCCGACTGTCTTCACCACCTAATACATCGACATAATGGCTTAGATAAGTGTTATGCATGACGAACCACTGTCTTCCTCGATGAATAGTATTAGCTGACATAGGGGTAGTCAATCCATAAACTCTTTGCTACCTGGTTGAAGCTGCGAAGGCAAGCGTAGACTGGCTGGTGGGGCTCCTCTGAATGCTGAGAAATGGTGATCTTAAGACTATTAGTAGTGGTATGGCTGAAAAGTATTCTCAGTGGTGCATATGTGTTTTTGCTCTTTGTAAATTTCCAGATCCATTAAGTCCTTTGAGTGTTTCTCTATGTAATTATTTTGTCTTCCGTACAGTTTCGTTTCTTTATAGTTCCTTTGAATTTTTCTGTTTCTCTACCTTTGTGTGCCATAATATAAAGGGTTGTAACTTCAACTACTACCCTTCTATACAAAGTTCTGTGCTAAAGCTTAATCAGTTACGCAACAAATTCAGTGCATATTAAAAATATTTACTTTTAAAAAATGAAGTAGTTGTCACCAAATGTCTCTCTTTTCCACTTTTTCCCCCTAATGATTTAGCTATGTTTGATCAATTCATCACTGTATTAATGAATGAATTGCAAGTTGGCCCACCGCCGGCTACTGAATCAGCTATTGCCGATCTACCGGTGAATGTATTAACTGAAGAACAAGCATTGAAGCTGGGTGTCTGTTCTATATGCTTTGATGATTTCAAAGAATCAGAATCAACAATCAAACTACCATGTAGTCATATTTATCATCAAACATGTGTTACAACATGGTTAAAACAAGTGAGTGGTATTTTGTAAATCCTTACAAATCATCGGTTAATTTTTGAAAAAAAATCAACCAACTTTATTAACCTATTCCTAGTTTGTGTAATTTGTTAAAAACCATGCATGCATACACACCGTGGGAGCTTATTATACTTATTACCTTATCTGATGTCGTATTAAGCTTCGTATTGTAACAACAGAAGACAAGGGCCAGGCAACAGATCGTTTATTAAGGAAATCAACACATATTTATAGATTTTCACGTACATTATTATAGATTATTGTTAGCAGAAAAACACAGCCCTCTGATTGGTTGTTTCTCACAGAAAGTTGATCTTGCATCTCTTTGTGACTGTTTCTTGAATGTCAGATCATCTATATGTTAACTGTATCCGCCTACGCAAAGCCTTTCTTCTCAGTATGTATAATGCAGCACTTGGCTCCTCCTTGTATTATTGTTCAACCTTAACTTGCAGTGTCTTATTTTTTGTTTTGTGAAATCATCAAATAAACAGTTTTAGATGAAACAGGGGTTTATGAACTAGCATTTGGTGTAATTGTTTCATATGTTACACAGGTTTATCTGTCAGCCATCTGGGTGTATTATGTTAGCTCGATAGTAATCGATAGGATGCTATGGATCGAGGTTTCGTGACCGTTGGCACTTGTCAGGCGGCAAAAACAACACGCTCTTAGTCAACAAGATCACTCATTGTAGTTTAAAATCTCAAAGAGGAATGTATGTTAGGTACCTTAAAGTGCTTCATGAATATATGGTCCTTTTGTTGTCAAACCGATTACAGTGGCACACGTGTTTATCTTGTTAATTGTAATACCACTCATTCCTTTATGCTTTATTGTTATCTCTTTCTTTCTGAGTGTTTCTGTGATTTCGCATTGTATTGCTTTCAAGAATTAGTTTGTAAGGATTCTGTTTGTTTCAGTTTAGACCACGGATTGATATCAGTTCGAAATATATATATATATATATATATATATATATATATATATATATATATATATATATATATATATATATATATATATATATATGATTTACTTTATTCCAAAACAGTACTTGTGATACAGAATGGAATTTTCAGCATTAATCACAATATTGCATCTAATTTCCTCAAATTATAAATAAAATTAATCACACAGAAAATTTTCCACATTTACAATAGAGGTAGTGTCAAAAACATGCAGCATATAAAATGGAAATAGCAATAATAATGATAACAGCTAGGGTAATAATAATAAGAATACAAGTGAAAATTGCCGTTGGCTTGTGTCACACAGTATTGGCAATGTGGTATAGAAATCCTAACATGTTTAAAAATATTGAATATAATGTTCTCTTTACATGATATGGTGAAGGGAAAAACAAAGATTACAGCCGTCATGGAGATAAGTTGGTGTTTGCAATTATGAGAGTAAAACAGAGAAGTAACAGGACCATAAATATAATAGAAGTAATAAAAGTAAAACTTGAAGGTATGTAATAAGGATGGATGGAGGAAATTGTTTATTTACTAGATGAAAAAGAGTTAGTTAATTCTTGCCTGACACTATTTTCATCACATAAAATACGTGCCAAGTATGGTATCATAGAATTTTTATACTTAGACGTGCGAGCATACAGTTTTCTGAAGTTACTCCTTGTTCTACCTGAGGAGATGCAAGGTGAAAGCTGAGGGTAAAGCGGATGCTCCAAGTCAGACAAAATCCCTTTAGCAAATTTATTGCACGAAGTCAAGTGCCTATCGACAACGACGTTAACTATGTGGTCCACTGGGACACCACTCACCCTACTGACAGTCTTCAGTATTCTACGAATTGTGACATAGTCCTTTTTAAGCAAACCAGGAAAGAATAAGGGTGAGCAATAAAGAAGAATAGGTAGGATGCAAGAGTTTATGAACTGTAAGAGGAGGGGTTGAGTTATACCCGAGTGTCTTAACTTCTTAATGTAAAATGTCAGGCGGAATATTTTACTGGAGATTGCTAAGACATGGGAAGACCAGGAGAGATCAGAAGAGAGAATGAGTCCAAGATACTTAATTTCTGATTTGATTCCTATATCATTGTCGTCAATTTTACAACTGTCATGAGAATCGATGACTTCTTTTAACTGTCGTTTACATCTTAAGCTGAAATCAACAGTTTGACACTTAGAAGGATTCAGTTTAAGACCGTTAGACTCAGACCATTTGCTGACTTCCGATAGAAAGCTATTTATTTTAGTACAATCTAGCTGGGAGTTAACAGCCATTGAAACCGTTAAATCATCAGCGTACTTCACAAAGTTTATTTCATCAGAGTGAGGCAAGTCATGCAAGAAGAAAGAAAAAAGAAAAGGAGAAAGAACAACGCCTTGAGGGACACCAGCTTCAGTAGGCAATGAAGTGGAAGACTTCCCTTTATATACGGTGTACTGCTTTCTATCTGAGAAATAGGAATGTAACCAGTTAACAGCCCAACATTCTGTTTGACTAGCAGCAAGTTTATTTAATAAGATGTCCCTAGGGACCGAGTCGAAAGCAGATGTATAGTCTAGGAAGGCGCAACGAACAAATTTAGCCCCCTTGTCTAGACTGGAAGCAATGTTATGATATAAGACGGCAGCTGCATCTAAAGTGCTTCTACTGTGCTTATAGGCAAATTGTTTAGGGTCATTAAAGGATTTAAGCGAAGGTACAAGACTAAGTAAAAGTAATTTCTCCATAGTTTTCAAAAAAGGAGAGGTAATAGCAATGGGTCTAAATTTGACACATGCTCCAGTAGAAGATTTAGGTATGGGTACAACTTTAATGTCCTTCCAAACGGCAGGCACAATATTATCGGAAAAAGATTTGTTAAATAGATCAGTAAGAGGGTGACACAGAATATCAGAACATTTTTTAAAAATAATACTAGGTACATAATCGGGACCTAAGCTCTGGGAAGGGTTTAGAGACTTGAGGCACTTTTGAACATCATTTGTGTTAAAACCTGGAAAGGGGCTATTATTAACACAAGTGATGCTGGGAAGCATGGCATTTGAGGGAGAGTAAATAAAAGATTTGTTAAGAGTACATACATCAAAAGAATATGGAATATTGTTTATCTGCTTACCACCAGTGATTTCCTTAAATAGTTTCCACATATTAGAAGGATTTTTGCAGGATATGAATTTCTGGTTATATATTACATTCAACCTCTGCATTTCAGACTTAATTAAGAAGTTAGTTCTTTTTACACCACTTTTATCTTTCATCTTATACAGTTTTTCCTTCTCTCTACGAAGCTTTTTAAGTTGAGGCGAGGAGAAACGGTCAAATTTGACGAATAGTGTTTCTTTTGGACAACAGATTTCAAAACAGAATTTCAGATAGGATGTAATATTAGAGATATTGTCATCAAGTGAATCATCATTAAACAAATCCCATCTTGTGTCACTGAGCATGTTTCTAAGATGATGTACGTTCTCATTTGAGTAGCATCTGTGAACAACTTTCTTAGACAAGTTTGAGAGGGCTTTACTGTGTAACTTTCCGTAAATTTTGGGTAAGACTCGTACAATACAATGATCAGAATTGAAGAGCGGGGCTCTTTTACGAGCTTCGTATATTCCAGAATCATTTATAAATACTAAATCAAGTGAAGTATTTTGTCGAGTTGGGAAATTAACAACATTTTCATGGCCCAGCAATGTAATAAAACTGCAGTCGCTGGAGTTGAAGTCGCCGGTCACTATAGATAAGGAGTTACCAAACGAAGCAGCAGCAAAAATAGTGAATTCATCAGCGAAGATAGATAGTTCTGAGGGACTGCAACAAGGTGTGATATAGATATTTGTGACAAAAATGAAGCTATACTTAGGTAAGTGTTTAGGTCGACATTTTACAGTTATACAGTCAATATTGTCATTTGAGAATTTGAAGCAGACGTTGTTGGCAGTAGACCACTGAGAATTAATAAAAGTGGCAACACCACCACCTCTCTTCTTCTTTGAGCTGCATCGGTCTTGTCTGTAGATTGTGAACCCACTTAAGGAGACTAAATTATCGTCATATGAATCATGGAGCCAAGTCTCTTGAAGAGTGATTACACCAGTATTACAATATACATTTGAGTATAATAGAGAATGCAAGTAGTTAATCTTGTTCGATAATGACCTGCAATTTGTGCTCATAATCACAGGAACAGTCATCTGATGCATTGGAGTACACTTTAATGATCTCTGCCAACCTCCATGATGCTTTTTCTTAACGTTATTATATACTCGTAAATCAACAGGTTGAAAACATTTTAAATAATCGCGAGAGTAAGTAATGCGACTTGGATACATAATTGAATAATTAAAACAAAATAAATCCGAGGAAATAGATCAAGGAACAGTCTGAATGAATCCATAGAGTCCCAAATGGATGGTTGTTTTTCATGTATTGAGTTTGAAGGCCATATTACTGTAGGGGATTGTAAAGAAGTGCTGAGAAAGAAAACACATTCTTTTCTAATGACCTATAAATCATCTTCAGCTGGCAAGTAATTTATAATTGTGTGAAAGACAATTTACACTTTTGTGTCATTTCCGTCTATGTTAAAAGTTTGCTTTCTGCCGTGGAGCTGTTAATATGGGTTACACAAAACATTAGCATAAGCCAATCACTAGACGAATTCTCGATTGTACAGCGGACCCTAGACATACAAGTGTGTGAGATTCCCTCCCTTTACAATTATCTGAAAAGTGATCTCGAGTGGTAAGAAAGGAGAAATCCTGAAATTCGGAGCAAGCGTTATCACTTCTCCACTTCAAGAGGAATTCTCTGTAGAAGAAGAAAGATTTGTTCAACTTCTAAGTATACCGTAGTCTTTAGCTCTTTGCTTGTTGGATTCTAGTTTCAACAATTAATTCACTGTTTCCTCTCTTACCACATGATTCTAGTGCTTTTTGTCTTTTTCTCCGTCATTTTAATATTTCCCAATTTATATTTGTTACCTAGTTAGAATTTCGCCTCAAGAAATTTTTCGCTTTAATACTTTTATCTCCTGTAAGTGATAATTAGGTCCCATAATTTAGTATATATTTGATCCCATTATGTTGCTGATTATCACATGTTTTTTGCCTCTAAAAATGACTTTTAGGTCACTTTTGATGATATAACGTCCCTCTCATTGGTCAGTAAAAATCTGTTATATGTTCTAGTAAATATATGTACAACTGTAAAAGCAACTGAAGGCGATTCTGAGTATTCATTGCAGACCGTCTACCATGTTGTCCAGTTTGAATAATGCTAACTCTCTGGAAATCTAACTGGCTAAATAATCATAAACATCCAAAATAACTCATTGGTGTCATTAAGTCAGTAAAAAGTTTGAGCATTCTGGAATGGATCAAATAAAGTATAATTATATTTCAATAGTTTACACACAATAATAAGTTTTGTTATTGGTAATATTTCGAGCAAAATTACTGCCCGTGTTCACACCACTGTTGGAATTGTTTTGTTTTCTTTATGATTTGTACTCATTTATATAGTTCATTTTTTTTCATTTTTATATTCAGAATTATATTCCAGGTTGTTGACAGTTGTACTGGGTCACCGTTGTTTCATGTATCCGGTGTGACCTTAATGAATATAGGTTGTGTTATAAGTCACTCTTTCCATTTGTTCGTATTAGATTTCATAGTACACAAACATTGTTCCAATCGATATTGTGGTTTTTGTCCCATGCATGTGCAGTCATAGATGAAATTTTTTTTCTAAATTCTTGTAAGCTTGTGTTCCTGTTGGTTGACCTTTAGTTAGGTCTGGCGTTTATGTTCATTCACTCTTATTTTGAGTGATCTGGATGTTTGGTCCACATATTTAGTCGGACACTCGGCACAAAATATTATGTAAATCACATTGTTTTTATCCATCATTCGTCTCATCTCTGACTATAGCACAGAGTGACGCCAGTGCGAGCCTCATGGGAAACATCAGTTCCCCCTCAGTATAACAAATATACGTCTCTGACTGATGAGTGCCAATAAATACAGAACTCAGGTTCAGAGTTTCCTACTGCTTGGCTTCAACCAGTTTTGTACCAGAAGTGGTTAGTGATCGCATTCTTTGACTGCAGCATGAATATATGTATTTTGCTTCACAACGAAGTGACATACTTGTCCTTTCCGTTCATGAAGGACTAAAAAGTCGTCTTGTGATACTAATATAATATGTTTTCTAATTTGCGGAATAAAATGACTTGAAGTAATCAGTCACATCATGGAATGTATTTACTTCAAGAGGAGGATTTGCTGTTGATTACTTTGCTTTTGCAATTTTTTTTTATTAAACTGTATCTTATTTCGTGAAAGTTCTTGATGTGTTGTCGACTGCTTCAGTACTCATTCATGCAGGTTCAAATATCTCCTAGGGGACATCACACTTTCCTCGGGATCGTAGATACGTGCCTTGCCGTATGGGGTGCTAAGAAGCATGATACTTAGGTTCTCAAAACTTACTGTCAATTGTCTCCAGTCATCTTCTAACTTGTACTTATATGTCTGTCTGTCTGTTTTCGACACAGAACTTTGCACAAATGTGCGGAAGTTCAAGTCGCCACACTCCGTGTAGCACGCGAAGCAAGAGAAGAAAGTACAAGAAAAGCATAATAGAAACAGTGAGCAGATGTATGAGACAAAGGAGGAGTATTGACGAAGAACAAAACAGTTTCATAGGAAATCATAAGTCACAAGGAGTGGATGCATCTGCGCCACTGAGAACGATTTTGAGCCATGTCACCAATTGTTTCCAACCATAGATTTTTACCGTCCCGAGGACCCCAGCCTGGAAGTCTACACCTTTCTACGTGGCTTAGACCAACTGTTGTGGATTTCATTGACTGATGCCAAGTTTTTGTTTGACCGCCGCTAGCTTTTTTCCAGCCTGACCCTATATCCTCTAACATTGCTCGTCGAGGGAGGCGGTGGCTTGGCATACGTAACACATGTCCTAACCATCTCAGTCTTTGTAGCTTCACGACTTCGTCGATTGATTTCCCCTGTTTATCTAGAACTCGACGCCTAACCTCCATGTTGCTCACCTTATTATACCACTTATATGTCTGTCTACTAAGATTTCAGGGGCTATTATTCTCCCCACATTGTATGTTATGCCATTGTCTCATTTCTCCATATACATGAAATAGAAGTTTCCTGTATAAGGCTTTCTGCTTCAAGACGTCATACATTAAGTACAACCTACACTACACAAAATAGCTTGCAACAAACAAATGAGCCGTACGAAATAGTTTTACACGCACACTGTTTTGCTGCTGTTCCTCTCTATCGCTCCATATGTCGACTTTTAATGAGAATGTAGAATTAAGTGTGAATGCACACTTGCTACATTTTAAATAATTTTTTTTCGTAAATTTCTTCTGATATGAACCTAAAATGTGCTTATTGTTCTTATCCCGGTTTTTTAATCTTCCCTAAAATTCTGTTGAATTCATATGACAGTATCAGTTGTGGAATGTACGAAATCCATAGAATGATGGACTTCGTGATAAATATAACCATGAATGTGACTATAAGCCGTTATCCCTCACCCATTTATCATCAGTGTGGATTATGGATGTTGGTTAAATCCATCTGTTTACCATAGGGAATTAAAGTCGTTTATTTCCTGTTCAATGTTCTTTCAATAAATTCTTTCCTTTGTCTAATTCAAGTACCTATACATTATTTGTTCTGAGACGACCTCAGTTGTATTTACGTTTTTATTGGGAAGGTTTCATCGATGTGCACCACTACACTGGTCTTCTCCTAATAATGCAGTTAGATTTTCTGTGATGCAATATGTCTGCTGTGCTGATACCACAGGACTGTCAATACATGAAAATATTCCGTTCCAGCACAAGTACTAAGTTTGACTTGGTGGTAACCCTGACTATCTAACAACAAATATTGCTACGATATAATGTAATATAATTATCAGCTTACTATCCTTGACACTAGCTTGTTTTCTCACTTGATACAACTGGATACATGGCCATCAATAGCTCCCCTTGGGCGTTCTGTAGTTAGTTATATTAGGTCCAGAAGAGCGAATTCCACTTCCTCATACAGTCCTGCATGCAAGCAGAGCTGGGATACTTAGTTTTCATAAATTTTAACACACAAAGGTCCGCTTAGGGGGAGGGATCTGATTTATTTAGAAGTGTATAACAGGTCGAATTCATGTGATGAATGATGGTTAATTGCATTCAACGTCACTGATACTTTCGCGTCCGTTGGGGGGGGGTGGTGGTGTCTATTCTTTAATGTTTTTCTTATAACTATTATGAACAGCTAGACAGTATCATTCATCTATTGAAATTGAGATGCAATTTATGTCCTAATGTGCTATCTATGTTTTGGTGTAGTTAGATAATGGTAGAAGAGAATACATCCCTTGGACTTTAACCATAATTTTATCTGGTCGCACGGTTTTAACTCCACTAGCAATAGTGTACCACCAATTGATAATACTCCAATTTCGGTTGGTATGATCATGGAAATGAGTCCTTTTACAGACGAAAGCAGAGTACATTACCTAAAAGGCCTGTACTCTTTAAAATTAGAAATATGACGTTGGTTTATGATTTTTTTTGTTGTTTTGTGGAATCATTTCATGTTTTGTTGTTATTTATTTAATATTAGCTGGAGGCGGAACACATAAGAGTCCGAATCCCGCTCCACGCAAACCAAGATTTGAACAGCCCCCCCCCCCCCTAGTAGTACTGTAACGATAGAAGACAAAGGCCAGGCCAACAGATCGTTTATTATGAAAATCAACAAATATTTATATATTTTTATGTAAATTACTATGTTATTGTTAGCAGAGAAGCAACGCCTTCTGATTGGTTTTCTCGCTGAAAGTTATTCTGTCATCTCCTTGCGGCCGTTTCTTTGATGGTCAGACCATATATCTTCGAATCGTATCCGCCCACGCAAAGTCTTGTGACTGATTGTTAAGTTAGCCTTTTCTCATGACGAAGATTTGGGACGTAAATATTGACGTGAATCGCTGTTTACCAATGTTGGCTAGCAGACAGCTCTTACCACAGTATAATTAGCCCTTTCACAGACACACACACACAATAGCGGAGGCTCATTGCCAGCTACTTGAAATTACAAGTGGTTTTTGAGTAACATTAATATTCTACCTTAAGACTGTAAAATGAGATTATTGTTAAGTGTAATTCCTGAAAGAGTTCATTCCTCGTGTAAACAAATCTGATAATTCATTTCATTTAATCTTCATTCTTGTACTCAAAATAAATGTATTAAAAAAGTCCTAAAATGTATTTCTTTTCACTTATTTTTTTTCATTTAGCACGGAACTTGTCCAGTTTGTCGAAAAGATTTAGCTGGACATGATACATCACGTTTTGAAGATCCACCTCCGAATGTAAATGGTTCAAGTTCTTCCAATTCCTAGTCCCCCTCACCTCATCGTCGTCCTCCCTCTTTGCCTGACCCAAGCCAATCGTCTCTATTTTATTTCCCACTTTTTTGATTATTCTTTTATTTTAAATCCTACCACATCAACAGTCCATAAACTTGTTCTTACTTTGTTTTTTTCTTTTCAACACACACGTGCGAGCGTGCGTGTGTGTGTGTACGTGAAATAACAGCAGTAACACTTCTGAATAATATATTCAGCTTATAATGCTTGTCAGCACAGTGCTGTATAGTTTATTCGTCACATATTCTTTTCTCCTTTTCTTATCCTATACTGCTTTGTAGAGAGTATGCCTCAGAGCATGTATGTCGTCTAGTGTGTGTGTGTGTAGAGAGAGAGAGAGAGAAAGGGGGGTCAGTCTTTTCCTAATTTATCCTTGTCTTGTCTTTTCTATGAACTGAACTTTCCTTTTCTTCATCTTTTGTACTAGAGATTTTTCTTGTTTTTATTTAGATTATTATTCATCATCTCATCTGTGTGCGTGTTTTCCTGGTTCACCGACTTCAGAACTGACTGACAAATCGAGTAAGATTGTTTTCATCAAATATCACATCATCAATTATTATTATTACATTCTTCTTTCTTTTGAAGTCCATCTTTGTGATTTGTTTACTTTCTTCCTTTTTATTGTTATATTCTCTATTGTTGTTAAAAATTATATACATATATATATGAACGTATATATTCGGATGTTTGTGAATTGGAAGACTGATCGAGTGCTGCGTTGAAACTGGAGTATAAACGATATATATATAGCCTTACGTTCAGAACAGTGGTGTGTTCTTCGTTTATTTCTACACTTGTATTGTAGTCATATGTGTCATTATTCAAAAGAAACGAAATATTATCTCTTTTAGAAAGACAAACATTTGATTTTCTTCCGTTTTTGTGTGATTATTTATTCTTATGGTGTGTGTGTGTGTAATGGTGTATGTCTGCTTCCTGGGGAAAGACTTCGGCCTTGAATATGAGGATGACTATCGTCTTACTGTGTGATAGCATACATATCGCCCAGATTCCAATTATTCAGTAGTTGGTGATCATTGTCTGTAGATATGGTATGTGCTTTGTGCTGTCTAAGTGGAAAGTAAGGTTGCGAGATTAATAAGAGCCTGTACCTGCACTCACCGTTTCAGGTGAACCGCCTGAGGATGTCGAAAAGTTTGTATATCTGGGTAGTTGTGGTGAGTGCTGGCGGAAGTGTGATGGACGAAATCTCTAGCCGTATAGTGAGAGCTAGAGGGACCACTTTAAGCCTCCCCTGGCGCCATCGCGATGTCAGCCTCACTGTCAAAGTTCCGATTTATAATGCTTGCTATACGCCTGTGAAACTTGATCTCTCTATGCTGAGAATGTGGGTAACTCTGCGTATTCAATCATCCCTGTCACCAAAGAATTGCTTGCGCGCAGTGGCATCATCGTGTGGGTAATTCTGAAGTCCGGCAGAGTGTGTTTAAGCACGGCAGAAATCACTATTCATTGACTGTTGTCATCTGGAAATACCGACTTCGTTGGCTTGGACATGTGTTATGAATGTCATCCCAGAGGCTTCCGTATCGGTGTCTGTTCGCTAGCCTTGGGATCAGATGCAAAAAGCGGAGATGCGGTAAGTCTAAGGCATGGGGTTGTATGATGAAGGGGTGTTTGTGTTACGTTAGCACAGTACGACTCTCTGGTTGTGGTCCGAAAGGTTTTTTTTTTCAAATCGGTGGCTCGAAATGTTATCAGACATGACCAAGAATTTCAATCATCGGTGAACATGCTGTAGCTTCCTTCTTTCTGCTCTTTCTGAAGTACGATCTTGAGAAATATGCTTTCTGGATGATGTCTTTCATTCATTCTCTGTTTATTTTCATTATATATTGTTGTGTGGCTCTTCTCTTGCTGCTCATATTGTATCAAGTTTGTGTTTTGAATATATGATACTTCCGTAGCATAATTGTAGTTGTTGGCGGTTGTATAGACGCAGATTATTAGGGTCAACTTTCTCTGGGCATATCTCATATTGTTTTTTTATTCCTTCACGTTCCCAGTGGAACAAAGAGCCCCAAACTAGAGGCTTGGAGTTTCTGTAGCAGTGGTGTTTATTTTTACAGGATGGTGTTGCCAGCCTCATGCCCAAACGTTCCTCGTTACCATCTTTTTTTATTTCTGGCTTAGCGAGGTAAAGGAGTGCGTCAGCCGCGGATCGAATCCAGGACCATGTGCATGATCGGCGAGCGTTCAGACCGCTATCCCACCTACACATTGTGATATGATATTTTGTTTGGTGGTATTTTATCATAATTTCATTTTACATTATTGTCAAAAAATTCCTCCTCTGTGTGTTGCATCGCTTCACTGAAGACAACTATAATAACATGCTTCATCACACGCGCTTTTTCAATGACTCCTCAAATCGTTTTCCGGAGTCATATTCCACTATTTTGGCTCTCTTTAGTTCGTGGGTTGATCAAGTATTTTATTCTCAATCACTGATTCATGCTTTCAAGCTTACTTTTCAGAAAACAGGTATAGATCAGGTGTAGTCGTTGAGTAATGTTTACTGTTTTTTAGATGGCCTTTCTTACCCAGTTGTAACTTGTACTCTAGTACTACAACAGAATCGAATACCAGCTTATTGGCTTTTATTGATATAATGCTTTTATAAATGACTCTGATATTCATTTCATTAGAGGTATGACACTCTAGGTTAAGAAAGCCTTTGTGAAGAGCTTATTAGAGTTATCTTTAAGATGATAGTGATTTAGATCTTAGTCACCTTCCTGTTCTGATTTGTATTCGTCCGCGTAGTCGATGATGGTTGACAGAACTTTATTTGGTTACTGGATTTCATCATGAGGTGACACCGGTTGAAGAACCATTGGTGTGGGGCTATCTGGAATGACTTGAGTTGGCAGCTCAATGTTTCCTTTTCGTTTGAACCTACAATTACCGGAATAGATTTTCCCAAAATCAGGTTAAGAGCCATATTTATTATATCTAGTAAACTAGACTGAAGTAGGTGGAGCGTTACTCGACCTGTAACCCTACCCATCAGCTGCGAATAGGGTGATTAAGCCAATGAGCCACATCTCCATAGGCAGTCGGCAGATCTAGTTCGTGTCAGAATTCGTACCAGTAGCCTCCAAATTACTAGTTTCGCTCTCTACTAGCTTGTGCTAAGGGACTCAACTGCTAACTAGATTATCATTCATCACGTATGGTAACCAGTTGTTATTTTGAATCAGTGGTATGTTACTGCCTTTTGTTTATCATTACATCACTTCAATTGCTAAGTTTTCTACCAATACTGAATTAGAAGGCGAGAAATCTGTTGTTAATTGATTTATAGGACTATCTGACATAGTCCTAGGTTGGCAAATTGTTACTGTCTATTGTTAGATTGTAGGAATTTGACTAAAGATTCATATCAGTTAAATAACCATCCAAAACAAGGGAGTACTGGACGTTTTTTCGGACTCTTCGGCGGCACGTACCCATTAACCCGGAAATTTTAGTTTGCGAGGCGATCTCATTGACCTTTCAGTCATTAGGAAGGAATCCAGCACCAGCCAATGTCATCGGCGAATATTTGTCCTAACACCAAATTGGATAAATCGCAACAGGTCACAACTTCTCATTAGAAGTCCAGGCAACTTCTTCCTGTCGTCAGCCAATAGAGAGCATCAGATTTGGTGCTCAGCAGTATACAGCGGCTGTACGTATCGCAAATTCGTAGAAATTGAAGTTCTGGAATTCGTTACCAGTGTTTGAATAGTCAGTGAGCTTACTTCATAACCTAAACGTCCTGGGGTTCGTGGGTATATGCTACTGAAGAGTCAGAAGCTAGAATGAGACTCTAACTGATATCAAACAGTGCTCGAATTTAAAGTTTTGTTATTGTAATCTAATGGGTGTTTTGTTTACCTACATTGAGAAAAGTCATAATATGTTAATACCAGTCAGTAGCTTTGAATCAGTTCATCTTTGTGTACTAGTATATTATAATAATACAAAGGTAAGGTATTGTTTTGCAAATTATATAACACATCTGAAGTATAAAGTTGCTGAATTATAATAATTATCCGGACAAGTTCATTAGGGGATATAAAGTACTCAGTGGAACACCAAGACCTACTGTCCAACTCTCCACTAAGAAAGACGTATTTATCGAGCTATCCTATATGGGTGATCATCGCAGCTTGGTAATTCGACAACAATAGAAGGCTATGGTTGAAAAGGCTTTATGCAGCTAATATCATAATAATAGAGAATGTAAAACCAATATATCCATCTAAGCCCTTGGAGCCTGCGAAACATGATCTCACTTCCCATTGTATTTACCAATTTGAATGAACTTGTGACACACACTCACATATAGAGAGGACTCATCGATCTCTGCGAATAAGGACTGACTTCAGAGCTGTCTGTCTGGATTCAACATAGAACTTGGCACCCAAGTGCACCAGTTCGAGTTGCCACGTTCCAAATAGCACACAAAGGTACACAAGAAGATGAGTGAAGAGAATTAATAGAGTTTGACAAATATAAGAGTGAAACAGAATGGGTAATGGTAGAAAGGAATATGAAAGATTACAGAGACTGAATACATCTGCGCTGGCCATTGACAACGATTTTGAGCCATGTCACCTATTGTCTCCAGCCATTGATTCCTAGAGTCCCGAGGGCCCCAATCCGGAAGTCTGAATCTCCCTCCCTACCTGACTCAGTTTAGCTGTCAAGGATTTCATGGATTGATGAGGCCATGTTTTTGTTTGGCCACCACTGGCTCTTTTCCAACCTGCACCAATATCAGCTAGCAATGCCCGTCGGGGGAGGCGGTGGTTAGGCATGCGCACCACGTGACCTAGCCATCTTAGTCTATGTAACTTTATAACCTCGTCGATTGATTTTCCCTCTTTGCCCAACACCGTACGCCTAACGTCAACATTACTTACCTTGTGAAACCACCTAACGTGAGAAAGAGATCGCAG